GGGGGGGGGTCAAGTTTTGCCTGTGAGGTCAGGAAGTCCCACGAGTCACCTGCGGAGCCTGGGAATCCCCTGGGACGCTGCCCCCACCCCCCGCCCCGCGGGTGCTATGGATGTCACGGTGACAACGAACAAGCCACTTGTCTAGAGCCCTGCAGGTGCAAGGAAAATGGGGTCCAGACTCCACAGTCTCCCCTTTGCCCTGAGAAAGCTCCAGAGGTTCTCTGGGCGAACTGCTCCCTCACTGCATATCAAGGATGCTCACCGCAGTGACCCACAACCAGGCCCCAGATCTCCCTTCTCCAAGTGCCATGTCTGGGTCACTAGACTGAAGCAAAACCCTACTTTCTGCACCTGCCAGCTATGGGAGCAGAGGGCTCACTGATCCTCTCTGAGCTGGGAGAATATTCCAGCTCTCAACGGATCTCTAGTGGTTTCACTAGTGTGGGGCTTGTAGGCCCCCTCAAAGTTAGTTCCCTTAGGGAAGGGCAGGGTCTCCCAAATCCCTTGGTGAGAGGCAACTTCTAGAAATAAATCAGTACTGCTTCTATGATTCATTAGCAAACCGACTGCTCAGGCACAGCCCCCAGATCGTGGGCTGGGGGTGGGGGGTGGACATCTGAAGATAGGAATGGAACATAAAGAGAGATCTCACAGCTAGAGGCCGTATAGACAGGCGCCCGATACTAAGAGCCAGGAGAAGAGAACCTGGGCCAAGAGAGAGCCGGGCTGGAGAAGGAAGAGGAAGGAGGAGATTTTTGTTATGAATTTCCTTCTTTGCTTAAACTGGGAAAAACCAGAAAACAAAAAGAGAAGTGGAGAAGGCAAACCAGCGTCAGGCTGAGGGGGCAGTTAGTTGAGGCCGTTATCACACAGGAGAATCAGCTCCTTCTGCCCTTGACGGCCACTGCCCTCCTAGAGCCATTAGTGCTCCCCTTCGCTAAGGGAACAACCTCTAACTTGTCTCCCTGCCTCTGCCTCCCCCTGACTCAGCACAGCCCTATTCACCTTTGTAAAGCACAGCTCAGATGATTGCCTGTCGCCCACTGGCTTCAGATCAGTCTCCTCACCTGACGTTCAAGAGCCCCCGTGAGCAGCCCTCACCTGCCTTTGCAAGTGATCTCTTATGTCCTGCATCCACTGGTCCTTGCCCGCAGAGGCCGAGCCCCTTCCAACTCGGCATTTGCTTCTGTGTTCCCTCCACCTGAATGCTTTCACTTTCCCAGGAAGGTGGATGGACTCCTAAAACTTACTAGCTGCCTTCCGTAAAAGCCACCTACTTCCCAAGCCCTGGCCTGGTGCTCCAGACAAATGGGGCTTCTCTTTAGCCTGAGATTGTAGACTGGCCTGTTTGTGCCAATCAGCTGTGAGACCTAGAGGGTGGGGTTCATGTCTTGTTCGCCTGTGTTCTGCTCCCCACTCCGGGCCTGGTCCCCTGCCTGGCACACATAAGAAACGTGCAGCTATTGAAGTACAGTAAGTTATGCCATAGCTTGAGAGATGGTGTTTCGAACATTTAAAAAGAGGTGTGAGCACAAGTTGAAGAGGAATGAGGAAGGCTGGGAAGTTCACGGAGAGAAGAGGGAAACAATTGGCTAAATAAGGAATTTTCATCCCACCCGCCTTGGTGCCTGGAGTTAGAAGGAAGGAGAATTGACTACCAGAGCCCGTTTCAGCCCCAGGAAAGGAACGCGGAGTGTGATGGCAGGCGCAGGGTGGGTAGCGGGGAGGGGTGGGGGTGGGGACACAGAAAGGTGCTGGGGGAAGCAGCAATCCTTTAAGCCCTTTTACCATCTGTTTCCGGGGGGGGGGGGGAGGAACCTCAGTGCATCCTGCTCCCAACCACCCCCCCCCATTACCACCACCAAATTGCAGAATTGAAAGTGACATTCTGCTAGCTAGAACACATTCAGTAAACAGACAAGGGCTGCTTCTGCTGTGAAACCTAGGGCCTCGGTCTTAGGGGGCATTCATTCATTTATTTGACAAATATGAGTCAGGAGTTAGGAAACATGCCAAGTAGACAAAACAGACCGGGTCTGGCTCTTTTGGAGCTTACGGTCTAGTGGGAGAGAGAAATATACACACCAAAAAACCAAAAACAAAACCAAACCCTGAGAGACAGTAGGTAGGATGGCCTGACTTAGAAGGGAGTCACAGCTCACTTTTCTGAGGATGTGATTTTGGAGCTAAGACAAGATTTTCCTCTAGGGTACCGGCTGGAACACCCCTTGCTCCTGGGCCATGGAGGTCCCAGCTCAGCTCCCTTGACTTTTTGGAAGGTGGAAACCTTCAGCCACACCCAGGACTCACTGTGGACAGAAGCTACTGGTCAAGGAATGAGATGAGGGGTCCCAGATAAGAGGGGTCCCAGCACCTCAGTTCTCCACTCCCTGAGGTGACTGTGGTGGTAGCATCAGCCTCTCTAGACCTCATCCCAGCCGACTTCACGGTTGTTGAAATCTTCACATGTTGACAACCGCCAACGTGCTGAGTGTACATCAGTTGAGGGCTTGTGGTTACCAAAAGACAAGAATCTCTCTTTCTTCATCTCTCACTATCTCCACGCCACCTCGAAATGCCCCCGCCTGCAAGTTCCGGGCAAATGCAATTTCAGGCAGCAGATGCACGAAGAGAAGACAAACATATTCAGACACCTGCTTCCTCCTCCCCTTGCAGAAGCTGGAGTGGGGGGATTAGCACTAGATTTAGGGCTCACAGGCACCACAGATCTTGAACTCCAAAGATCTGAATTCAAGTCCTTGCTGCATACCTGTGCAGCTATGGACAAGTTGCGAGCTTTATCTGTAAACTGAAGTTAATGATCTCCGCCCTTGATTCAAAATATCAGCCTCCACCCCAGATAGAGCTCTCTGCCGTTCCCCGATTCTCCAGACCAAGCACCCATCTGTCTCCTGCTCTTCTCTTGGACGTCCTCCCGCGGGCACCATAAACCCACCTTGTCCAAAGCTAGACATCATTTCTGTCTCTAACCTGGTTCTTCCACCTGCTTCCTCTATGTCTGGAAAGACCATCACCCAGAGTCACCCCGTGATGCCTCCCTCCTGCCTCCCTCCCTCTCTCTGGCCACCTCCAAGAGCCAGATTGGAGAGCTCTTGATTCTACCTGCTAGATGGAGGCAGCCACTGCCTCCTTTCCCATTCCACTGTTGTGGCCCATTGCAACCCCGCCCCCCGCCTCTTACCTGGAGTACTGCAGCCGTTTCCAGGGCAGGCCCTCCAATTTATGCTCCAAACTGCAACCAAGGCAACTTTGCCATTGCTACTTACAATCCTTCACTTTCTGCACACTAGCTTCAGGACAAAGCCCAAACTCCTTAACATGACTCAAGGCCCCCGTGACCTGGTCCTGCTGACCCCCCTCTGACCATCACCTTGAAAGCACACTTTGCCTGTGAAGTGCCAAGAAGATGCCACGCATGCCACCCGCTTCCTCTGCCTTGAACACTTCCCCCCAGGCTAACTCCTAACCAGCCTTCTAGACTCCACTCGAGCCTCACCTCCTCTGAGAAGCCTCTCCTGTCCTCCCCAGGTTAAGGGCATTACCCTTCTTCCAGGTTCCCACAGAACCCAGTGCTTCTCACAGCAGAGAGCTCATCATGATGTCCTGAATTGTCTGCGGCTCCCTTTCAGACTTGGGCCTGGTACTTGGTAGGTGCTCAATAAATGTTCAGAAAGGAGTAAAGGATTGATTCCATTGAAAGGCAGTGGGGTGAGAGCTAGGCTGGGAGGCAGAGACTGGAACCCAATCCCAGCAGTCTTTGCCATCAACTCCCAGGGACCTTGGGCCAGTCACTTGGGTCTGTTAACCCCTCACCTGAAAGGCCTAGATGTCTGTTGCTCTACACACACACACACACACACACACACACACACACACACACACTTTGGGCAGAAGCATTCAGATGAGGGACCCAGGAGCTCTAGTTCCCCAGGTCCACCATCCCAGAAACAAGAACCAAGAGAATGGAGAAATGCCATGGCGAGTGCCATGTGAGGGAGACACAGGTGAGAGCAGTCACAACGGTCAGAGGTCCACATCCTGCCAGCTGGTAATGTCACCTGCTGACTTTGTCCCTCTTGATGTTCTCAGGCTGGGGCTGGGGGAGTCCCTGTTCTCTCTCCCCCGCCCCCCAAGTAGACCTCTTCCCCTCTCCCAAAGCTGGCTAGCGGGGCATCAGTGGATGAGGGAGCTGGTAGGAACTCAGCCGCTCTCTCTCAGGTGTTGGGAAGCAGTAGAGGCCACAGGAGCAGAAGAACGAGCACATGCCCTTAAGACATCGTGCCAGTGGGTCTGGATCTTACCCACTGAATAGTGCCCGCGACACCCCATTTCTCCACCTCAGCTTTGCATTTTTCCTGGCTCTACTTACGGGGTAACAGGTTAAGACTTGGGGCTGGCTTGAATGGGAAGGGGAAACTGGCCACACAGCTCCCATCAAGCTTGATCATAATGCATCAGAGCCACAAAACGAAGTACCGTCTCTCCTGCTGAGTAAACAACTTGGGGCACAGCTTCCTGTGCCCACCTCTACCTCTCCCCCTGCATGTGGGCAACTCCCACAGGCCCGGCTGGCCGCCGTGTGACAGGAACAAAAAAAGCAGGCTCGGGAGGCAGCTGCAAAGGACAGGACGGCGGTTTTATACGTGGCAAAATACTTCTAGGGGAGTACAGACAAACAGACAGACAGATGGGGGCACAGGACACCAGACAGGGAGGGAGGAAGGTTGGGCAGTGGTGTCTTCTAACCAGTAAGTGGAAGCTGCACCCCACCCCAGGTGGGGGGGGTGGGACAACATTGGCACAGGAGGTGGCGAGACAGGCATGAGGTGCCCATCCCTGAGGCGGGCAGCCGGGCAGGGCCCAGTCCTCGTTGGCACAATCGGCTCTCTCTGGCCCAGCTGGGTGCTGGAGAGGGGCAGGGCTGCTGGGCTGTAGGGATGCTAGGCAGAGGGACACTCCAGGGCAGAGGGGGTACCAAGGCCTCTCCTAGAGGGAGTGGACATGGGTAAAGGACAGGGTCACAAGAGGCAAATCCGGAGCAGCAGCAGCAGCAGCCAAGCCCCCCAGGGGAGATCCGAGGTCCCGAGGCAACCGCTGGGGTGGTGATCGCCTCTTGGGCACCCACCCCCAGGGCCTCTCCCCTGGGGCCTCCGGGTGAGAGTGAAGGAGCAGTTTTTTGGTTTCAAAATGAGGCGGACTAGAGTGTTCCATGGGTGCCACACCCAGGTGAAACAGGTTGGGGGGCTCAGACGCAGAGGGGCCCCCCTCTTCAGACGGCAGTAGGCAAAGGATGTTGTAGGCAAAGCTCATTCCTGGGGTAGGCGAAGGCTGAGGCATGGAAGTGGTGGGGTGGGTAGCAGTGTCTCGGGCTGCCCACTCCTCAGGGGTCTAGGTCCTGGGCAGGCAGAGGGCACTACATCTGATGCCTGTCCCCTTCTACCCAGACCCCTCCCCAAGACAAGCTCCCCATGGGGCTTCCGTTCCATAGCTTCCACCCACCAGACAACGCTGCCAGGAAGCTGGGGAAGGGGTGGGCACGGTGAAGGACTCTGGACCTGGGGTTTGGGGAAGAGAGCCCTCGTGGGAAAGAGTCTGTGGTCTCCCTCTCCAGGAAAAGCCCCCCACCCTTCCCAAATACTCCAGGTTGGGGAAAGAAAGGGCTACCCCATGTAGGACCCTTATTTAGAGCCCAAAGTAGAGTTAAGGAAGTGCACCTTTTCTCTGGGAGTGAGGGGAGAGAGCCCCCTGATGTGGGGAAAAGGGGACACTGCAGAAAGGTGGGCATCCCCCTATCCATCCACAGCAGGTAAGTGAAAAACCTACAGTTGGGGCTTAAAGTTATCCCAGGAGGTGGGATGCTACCACCAAAGAAACCCCAAAAATCGAGCAAAGGCATCTGAAAGGTGGGAGACAGCGCCCCCTGGAGGAAGGATACATCCCTGTGGTGAGCCCCTCTGTCCCGCCCCTCCCCCGGGCTCAGAGCCCTTCCCCCCACTGTGTGGCCCCTGCTTCTCAGCGGATGTAGACACCTCGCCCCCAGCCTTCCAGCTCATTCTTGTTGCGCCCCAAAACTGGACCCCCACCCTCTGCGCAGTAGCGGGCCTTATTCCGGCCGCGGTTCCGGTTGTCGGTCAGCTCCTCTTCACAGTCTTCTTCCTCATCCTCCCAGGATCCCTGCCGGGCTGGTGGGGTGCTGCCCCCTGCAGGGTCTCCAAGCCCTGGGCCCTCTGAGGGGTCAGTTTCCATGTCCACACATGAGTCTCCCAGCTCCGTGTAGGCAGAGTTTCGGTTGCCAGAGGTGTCGGCATCAAACGTGTCTTGGCGAGACAGTGCCCGAAGGGTGCCCGCCCGGCCTGGTGGGTGGCTGCTGGGATAAAGGCCTGGGGGCTGGCCCAGCTCCCCCGGGTACTCGTGCACGCTGGCGTGCTCCCCGGTGGCCCGTTCCAGCGACTGGTCCCCGGAAGCAAGGTAGGGTCCCTGGTTAGCAGACGGACAGCACACACCATGCAGATCAGGCAGGGGTGAAAGAGACACAACAAAGCAAGGCAGGTTAGTAACGGCACCAAGATACGCAGCCTGGCTACAGGACGTGGGTACTGGCTCTAGGGGATGGGCAGTCAGGCAAACGGCTCTACAGCCCAGCCAGAGGACAGACCTCAGGGCATTTGCTCCTCTATTGGGACGGGAGGCACCCAACATTCATAAGACATGAGGAGGCATGAACTCTTCCGGTAACCATGGTAGAGAGCCCACGAACAATTTGTCATTGCTTCCTCACTGCACGTCATTAATGCTGTCTTGGGCTAAATCATCATTAACAGCTCATTAGTATTGCCACTTGTTAGTGGTTGATTGGGTTAGTCACTGCCCCAGTCTTCCAAATATACTCAGGGAATTTCAGCTCAGAGCTCACTAACCCCAGCTCCTTCAGCCCAAACCAGACCCCAACCGCAGGCTTCCAGAACCCCTACGCTTTCCCCTAGCCAGTCCCTAGTCAGAGAACATAGTTTCCAAGGTTGATGAGATTCCCGTGTGCCCCCAGCAAAGATCGAAGCAGCAGGCTGGAGAAAGCCAATGGGTCTCTATCCCCCAGTAGAAACAATGAGGTGGCCCAACATCCTCAGCACCAAATGCCACATGAAGGTGATCTGATGGTCACTGTCACCATGGAGGTGGTTGGGTGAGGTGCAAGAAGGCCTGGGTTCTGGTCCCATCCCCTGCCACTTCAAGCTGTGTGACCCTGAGCAAATGACTCTCCTCTCTATGGCTCAGTTTCTCTGTGGTGGTGTGATAGGGATTAGACCAGCAGTTTCTAAACTGTTCCCTGGAGACCGAGGGTGGAGTGGGAAGGGCACAAAGTGCTTCAGGGGTCCCTGAGGAGGTGAAATGGAAGCTAAGCCACCAGCTCCCTCCGAGTAGAGCAAGGTTCCTTGTAAGTTGCAATGAACAAATGGGCTGTTACTGAAAACAAATTTGAAAAGCAATGGTCTTAGAATGATTTCTTGGCTTTCTCCTGGCTCTAATCTAGAACCAAATAGTGGTGCAAGCTCAGAGATGGGAAGCAGCTCCCATGGGAGGAGGCTGAGCCAGGGCAGGGCACCCACAGGAGGGCCTTCCCTGGAATGTGTTTCACCGGGAGAAGCATGGAAGGTATGGCATCAACTCATAGAAGATACTTCATTCTGGGGCCCCTCTGAGGAAACTCCTGGGATTAGGGCTCTGGGAGAGGAGACAGTCTCTTTGGGTTTAATGGCCCGGCTCCGTGGGATTCCCTGGGTCTGAGGGCCCTAGCTCTGTTGGGTCTAAAATGCTGTGACCTCTGTGGCGTCTAAAATGGGTGTGGGGGCACCTGGCTGGGTCAGTTGGTAGAGCATGTGACTCTTCATCTTGGGGGTCGTGAGTTCTAGCCCTACACTGGGTGCAGAGATTACTTTAAAAAATAAATAAAAATAAAAATAAAATGAGTGTGGAGTCCAGTGAATGAAAACACCAGTCTTCCTTATGTTTTCTTCCTAGTCAATTGTCTCATAATAAGGCCCCAGTCAGGCCTCATATCCAAAATCCCCTAGGGCAGCAGATACAGTCCTATGGGACCAGGCCCAGGGAGGCACCACGAGCCAGCCCCAAACCCATCAAAAACCACAGACACCAGAAGCTGCCACTCACCACATTTTTTACAAAATAAAGCTCTTCCCTTCCTTCCCCATGTTCCCTGAGCTCCAGTCCCGAGCCTTGGGCAGGAGGGGAGATGGATGGGACACCTACATGGCGTGCTCCTGCTGCTGGGGCACCGACCTGGCCCTCTGCGAGGCTTCCAGCCCGCCCCAGAAGCTGAGATTTCTCCTGAGTGAGGTGAGCACCTGTACCTGGAGGTTGGAGACAGGGGCGGGGCTGGCGGCCAGAGCTGCAGTAGCCATGGTGCGGTTCAGCAGCGGATTGGGCGGAGTGCTGCTGGGCGGGTGTGTGGCCTTCCAATAGGCTTCCAAGTATTCGGCCAAGTGCTCGCAGGCATCCTCCAATTGGTTCTCGTCCAGGATGATGTCAAACATTTCCTGTGGAGGCGGGGTTAGGAGGCAGGGCTGGGATGAGCTGGGCGTGACCAAGGGGGTGAGGGGTGTGGCCTGGGTGCAGTGGGTGGAGTCAAAGGGTTGAAGGACAAAGTTAAAAAGAAACCTCTGGATGTCCAGGAAGAGGAGGACTCTCAGATACATACATTGTCAGAACTACCAAAGGTCTTGGCACCCAGAATAGCCTGACTCTCTCATTCTAGGTAGAAGGCAACCAAAGCTGGAAGAGGGGCCTGTCTCCCCACAGAGAAGTGGTGCTTCCGGGGTCCAGCACCCTTTTCCCCTCAAGACCAGGGCACTCTAACAGACCCCACCCTGGTGCTCTTGGTCACTCTGTCTCTGACGCAGGCCGGAGGAAACAGGACAACCCAAATGTCCCCCTTTCCCTTTCCCTGGGTCTGAGCACTCACGGGGGGACACTGCGCCAGCTTCTCTGAGGCCGCTATTTGGACATTGAGGTGTTTGGACTGAGACTTCCCTCGGGACTTGATGAGCCTCTGAAGTACCTGGTTTGGGAGGAGAGAAGAGGAGCTAGAGGGACCCCACAACACATCCTATCAGAGAGGCAGGTCCTGGTTGGCCCCAGTGTGTCAGAGCCGGGGGGATGTCAGAGGACTCTCAGCCCTGGCCACGTCTTCAGAAATGACCTCCCCTGCCCCGTGTCCGTCCTACCACAATGCTCAGGCTCTCCTGGGAAGTGGCTATTTGAAAGAGGGTGATTCTCCTTCCTGAACCCTCTAACCTTCTTCATAGCTTCATTCTCCAGGCAGACATCTCCACGTTAACAGCAGCAGCCAGCCTTTATGGGACGCTTGCTCTACACAGGCACCATGCTGTGCTTTCTACGTGGTCAATTCGTTTTGTCCAGACAATAATCCCATTAGGGAGCCACGATTGCTACTCTCATCTCAATAACGATAATATTTACCAGTGATGATGGCAAATAATAGCTAAACATAAAGCCACAGCCTTAACTAAAGGATCAAAGTTAACATCACCAAGTACACAACAGAGACACATCGCTCTGGTGCTATTCCCACCAAAAATGCAAAATCTGAACCTCATCACAATGAAATATCAGGCAAACCCATACTGAGGAACAGTCTACTAAATCAGTGATCTGTACTCTTTAAAGATGTCGGTGTCATGAAAATCCAGGAAAGGCTGAGGAAATGTTCCAGTTTAAGAATGCTAAAAAGGGGCGCCTGGGTGGCTCAGTCGGTTAAGCGTCCAACTTCAGCTCAGGTCACGATCTCGCAGTCTGCGAGTTCGAGCCCCGCGTCGGGCTCTGGGCTGATGGCTCAGAGCCTGGAGTCTGCTTCCGATTCTGTGTCTCCCCCTCTCTCTGCCCCTCCCCCGTTCATGCTCTGTCTCTCTCTCTGTCTCAAAAATAAATAAACGTTTAAAAAAAAGAATGCTAAAGAGATAAAGCAACTAAATGCAACACATGATCCTGGGTTGAGGGGGAAATTGCCATAAAAGGCATTATTGAGACAACTGATGAAAAATGACAGACTGTTTTACAATATTTCTTGGGGCGCCTGGGTGGCTCAGTCAGTTAAGTGTTCGACTTTGGCTCAGGTCATGATCTCACAGTTCTCGAGTTCAAGCCCCGTATCAGGCTCTCTGCTGTCAGGGGCTCTCTTGTCAGCGTAGAGCCTGCTTCAGATCCTCTGTCCCCCTCTCTCCCTGCCCCTACCCTCATTCATGCATGCGCACTCTCTCTCTTAAAAATAAACATTTGGGCGCCTGGGTGGCTCAGTCGGTTGAGTGTCCGACTTCGGCTCAGGTCATGATCTCATGGTTCGTGGGTTCGAGCCCCGCCTCGGGCTCTGTGCTGACAGCTGGGAGGCTGGAGCCTGCTTCAGATTCTGTGTCTCCCTCTCTCTCTGCCCCTCCCCCACCCGTGCTCTCTCTCTCTCTCTCTTTCTCGCTCTCTCTGTCTCTCTCCCTCTGTCTCTCAAAAATAAAATTAAAAAATTAGCATTTAAAAATAAATAAACATTTTAAAATATAATATTTCCTGAATTTGGCAACTGTACTATGGTTATATAAATTAACATCCTCGCTGCTAAAACATACATGATGAGGTATTTAGGAATAAAGACATGATATCCGCAATTTACTTTCAAATGGTCCAGAAAAAATATATATACATATAACATAATACATATGTACAGAAAGATAAAGTAAGTGTGGCAAAGTGTCCAAAATTAGTGAATCTGAAGAAAATTGAATAATATACTTTAAATGGCTGAATTGAACGGTGTGGGGATTATCTCAATAAAGCTGTTAAAAAATGAGTGAATCTGAGTGAAGGGCAGTCAAAAGAATGGCAGTTCTTGTACTATTCTGGCAGCTTTTCTCTAGACTTGGAATTATCTCAAAACAAAAATCTTAAAAAAAGAAAAATAAAAAAGTTAATAGCTGTAGAACTTGGTAGGTACCAGGCACTTTGCCTGGTTAATTCACTTATGCAATCCTCACCACCACCATTTGAGGATCCCTACTTTGCAGGCGAGGAAGCGGGCACAGAGGAGTTAGGGGGTTTGCCAAAGGAGCACGGAGCTGGGGAGCAGCAACGCTGGTAAACTCTGGGCATTCTGGCTCCAGAGTCCCCACCCTCAACCTCAGCGCCCAGTGGGAGAAATTGAAGTATCTGTTACTTTCTAGCTCACAAAGTGCTTTTGTATCCATTATTTCGTTTGATCCTTTCAACCACCCCAGGAGGTACTTAAATCCTATCATTCCCTTTTAGCTCAACAGAAACGGAGGACTCAGAAAGGTTAGGGTTAAGGAACTGGGTAGCATCATGAAATGAGAGTTACCGCCCTTGGTTGCCATCATGAATCAGACAGAACTCTGGGCTCTTTACATTATCACCTGAAATCCTCTCAACGATAACAAGGGAGGGTTTTTAATTCCCATTTTATAGGTGAAGAAACTGAGGCTAAATAAATCCCCCAGAGATCCCAAGCTCAATAAACAACAACAACAACAACAACAACCAAACAACAAAATTTAATTAATGAATTAATTAATAAAGACTTGAACCCAGCGCTATCTTCTAACTTCAAATACCGCACCTGAACTCGCCCTCCACGTTTCTCAAACCCCCACTAACATCTAGGAGGAAAAACTCACAGAGCTGCAGTAGGAAAAATAAGTAAATTAGCCTTCCTACCGACTCATCTCTATCAAGGTCCAAGTGAGGACAGTGCAGCAAAAAGGGACAAAATCAAATGACAGTAAAGACCTCCCAACTGCCAAGCAGTTGGGTGACACTGCAACAAAAAGCACAGAATTCTTTCAGTTTCCTCGACCAAGGATGGGAGGTCAACCAGAGTGGAGACAGGGGACTGGCCTGCATGACCCTATTAATGGTATTTATACTAGCTAATACATGAGGAAGCACATTATACCAGACACTTTGCTAAGTGCTAAGCATTCACATTAGGCTCAATCTTCACAATGGCCATTTGATGGAGTTTTACCGAGCAGGCAAATAAGGCTCGGGGAGATTCAGTCACAGAATTAATAAGCAGTTGCTGAGGTTTAAACATAGGCCACCCGACTCCAGAGACTACTGTCCCCGCTAGGGTTAGGCTCCCGCACCCACCTTTGGAGAAGTAATCTTGATGTAAACAATGATGGGGGCCAGTGAGGTCTTGGAGAGCTGGGCTGGGTGGTTGATGGTGTCAGCATCCAGAGCAACCAACTGAAGGGTCCGGGCCAGCTCGAAGATTCGCTCGATCTCGCTCTGAACCTCAGCTGGGAGACACGGAGTCATGGGGAAGGGGGAATGTAGGGGAGCCTCCCCAAGAGACGGTGGGCAATAGAACACTTCTGGAGATGCCCCCCCTCCTCCCTCCCTTCCCAGGTCTGGGCCCGGAAGGGGGGTGGCAGGGTGGGCTCACCCAGGCTGGAGCGTGTGTTGGAGCGCTCAATGATGATGTGTTTGCTAGGGTTGTTGAGGACTGAGCGCTTAGCCAGGGAAATGTCCGCTGTCACACGAGTGATAGAGATCCTGAGGGATGGGACAGGGGGATTGAGGTGTCAGGATGGGCTAGAATCCGCTGCCCACTCCCAAGGCTCCAAGTCCTAGACCTCAGTCCAAGAGTCCCAGAATCATCATTCAAGCCACCCTGCCCAACCCCAGCAGCACAGGACTAGAGTGAGAGTGGGGTCTTACCTGCCATCAAATCGATGCTTCAAGAAGTCAAATAAAGCTTTCTGCATCATATCTGTAACCTGAGGTTGGGGGTTGGGGGGGAAGAAGTCAAGTGTGGGTGGGCTGCTGAGTATTTACACCCTCACATTCTATTTTCTTCTCAAATTCCTGAGATAAATGGGCCTCTAAGGGGGGGTGGGGGAATTCTTTCTGGGTGTGAGGAGCTTCCAATGGGGTCTCTGATTCCAAAGGTTCTTCTAGGTGGTATCTCTGGGGGGGGAACCCTTCTCGGC